GTTTGCCAGTTTGTGAGTAAGGCAAATGGCAATCAGCCAAATGTAACAAATTTAAAATGTAATTCAAGTAACAGCAAAATTTCACAACAACTTCATTGTGTTAAATTTTCATTTATTTACAATTTTTTCTTTGCTACCATTCGTCACTTCGCAATAACTTGATTTTTTTTTTCAACTATTTTAAACACCCTCATACACAGCATAATTGTTGTAATGAAATTGTAAAGCATTAAAGAAAACCTAACTTGAATGGAACTGACTTATAAACTAGACACTTAACTAGTGATTCGGAAATAGAAAGGGATTCTTATTCTAATAGTTTTCATAATTTTTGAATTTTTTTTTAAAAGCACAACTTAATTGTGTTTCTATTTTGATTTTATTTTTTTTTATTTCTATATTCACTCTACGCCCAAGTGTTAACTAAGTACAATATCAGTATTTTAGTTGCTTTTGCAATTAAATTGTTGATTTAACTTCAAATTTCAAGTGAGTTCTTTCTGTAAGTGTAATTGAATTTTAAACACGTTTTGCGGCGTGTTAAAATTTTCTATCCCCCACCACAACACACTATTTATTTAACTACTTTTATTTACTCCTGGCAAACGTAAAAATATTGAGACGTGTTAAAAAAAAATCCAAAACTTAAGGTGGGTATTTGCGTTTTTCTCTATTGCAAGGGAATTTTTCTTTAAACAACATCTACCAAACTACTAGGCTGTACGACAAACAGACAAGACTTACAGCGTGATATAGCAAGTGCAAAAACTGTGAGTGAGTACGTTTTTTTTTTTTTTCTTGAGATAAGAACTTGCCGAAATGATTACGTGCTGATAACGTAATATTAACATTTATTTTTATTTCGTTTTCAATTTTATATTTTTATTTTATTTTTTTGTTAGTTGCCTTTCTTACTCCTCTAAAACCCCTAAGACGTACTAGCAGTAGGACAACAAAACGTGTGCCGCATTTATGAAATTAGTTTGAACTCAAGATAGTACGTTGTAAACCTTTTCTGTGTGCGATTATTAAATTTTAGGTAGTGGCGTAATAATGAGTACATTGCGATAATATAGGAACATCAGTTTTTAATTACAAAAATGGAAAAATAATTGTAGTATTCGTTTGTGCAAGGTAATAAAAGTGTTTTCCAGCAACAGACATCTGTCAATAACTAAGGAATAGTAAATATTTGGTGTTAAAATTTATGAGCAAGCAAGTTGAAAGTTAAAATGTCAAATATGTAGTTAGCATAGGGTCGTGTTGAAACTAGAACTGAACACAAACTAAACTAGAACTGAACTAGAACTGAACTAGAACTGAACTAGAACTGAACTAGAACTGAACTAGAACTGAACTAGAACTGAACTAGAACTGAACTAGAACTGAACTAGAACTGAACTAGAACTGACTAGAACTAAACTAGAACTGAACTAGAACTGAAACTAGAACTGAACTAGAACTGAACTAGAACTGAACTAGAACTGAACTAGAACTGAACTAGAACTGAACTAGAACTGAACTAGAACTGAACTAGAACTGAACTAGAACTGAACTAGAACTGAACTAGAACTGAACTAGAACTGAACTAGAACTGAACTAGAACTGAACTAGAACTGAACTAGAACTGAACTAGAACTGAACTAGAACTGAACTAGAACTGAACTAGAACTGAACTAGAACTGAACTAGAACTGAACTAGAACTGAACTAGAACTGAACTAGAACTGAACTAGAACTGAACTAGAACTGAACTAGAACTGAACTAGAACTGAACTAGAACTGAACTAGAACTGAACTAGAACTGAACTAGAACTGAACTAGAACTGAACTAGAACTGAACTAGAACTGAACTAGAACTGAACTAGAACTGAACTAGAACTGAACTAGAACTGAACTAGAACTGAACTAGAACTGAACTAGAACTGAACTAGAACTGAACTAGAACTGAACTAGAACTGAACTAGAACTGAACTAGAACTGAACTAGAACTGAACTAGAACTGAACTAGAACTGAACTAGAACTGAACTAGAACTGAACTAGAACTAGAACTGAACTAGAACTGAACTAGAACTGTACTAGAACTGAACTAGATCTGAACTAGAACTGAATTAGAACTAAACTAGAACTGAAAATTAGTTAGTACTAAAGCTGAACAAAGACTGAAAAAAATATTTCAAAAAATTAGTCTGAATTAATAAAGCTAAATGATTTTTATATTTAAAATTTTCCGAATTTCCTGATCTTAAAAAAAAATATTGATGAAATTTCGTCACATTTTCAATTTAATTTTCGCTAAAACCCGAAAATCTCATCAGCTCTTAATCCCACAAAAAAAATTTACTTTTTACTAATAACTGAAAAAAAATTGAAATAATACTTACGAACTGTGACCGTTTTAGGATCGTACGCACTAACACGTCTCTCTACTGCAACGATTTTCTTCTGCACCACACGCGCCCTATCGCCCACCGTTTGCAGCTCACGCTGTAAATCATCAAATATATCACTGGCTATCAGGACCAAAGAGGCCAACTGCCTTAAGGCATTACTTAAAGTAATATTACTAATTGAATCAAATTCATAGCCGGCCACAATTTTGGCAGACGTTGGCGTTTGTGGTGTTTGCAGTGAACGCAAACGTTGATGTGACGACGAGGAACGTATGGCAGCCGTACCACTACCAGCTGTTGAGGGTCGCGAAGGATGCGTACGGGTAGGTGAGGGAACGGTTGATAGAAATTCCACATGTTGTTTCAATTTTTTCATAGGCATGGCAGGGGCCGGTGAGACAGGTGTAATAACACCGCCATCATCTTCATGATCGGTGCTGTAGGAAAAACTGGCGGCAAAACCATTAGAATGTGGTACAATGGTTACAGAATGATCAGTATTATCCGTGGTAGAGTTTAAATCCAAACCATTGGTATTGTGTATAATTGCCGTGGTTATTGTAGTTGTTGAAGAGGATGAGGTGGAGGAGGTCGAAGAGGGTGATTTTAAACTACTGTTGTCCTTGACATTGTTGTTATTATTTAATGTCCTTGACTTAAGCAATAAGTCATCTGCCTTTACGGAGCTTTCCTCTGTTTGTTGATTTTTTTGCTCTCTACCATTTAACGATGCTTCCCTCAATTGGGGATTGGACGATGAGGCTGTTAGTTGTTTATTATTGATACAATTGCTGTTTTTGCATTTGCCGGGTATACATAGGAACTTGGTGGTTCTATTACTGCCTCCCGTTGCAGAGCCACAAACTTGTGCAAGATTTACCGGCTGCACAACACGTTGAACAAACGGCATTTTATAAAAGAAAAATTCACACACTCACTGGTTTTCTTTTTGGGGTAAATTTTTACACCAACATATTAGAATTTGATTTTTCTTTAATTTTTCTATGAATATTAACAATACAATTATTTTAAACCATAACTATGTTGTAATTTATTAATCACTGGCACTTAATTATTGCTTTAATAAATACTTTTTTACACAATTTGATTACTGCTTGGTTTAATTTAAATAAATTATATTTTTTTTAACTTGACTATTACTTTTTTTAGTATTTTCTTTTTTTAAATTGTAAAATTTTTATCATAAAACCGGTAAAACCACTTTATCCATTTCAACTATCGAACGCATAAATCCTCCTTGTTTCATCTCCTCTTCATTCTTTTTTGTTTTGTTTTTGTTTTATTTTTATTATTTTTAGGCTCTTTTTATTTTTCTACACCTTCATTTATGCTGATGCTTCATTATTGTATTGTTGTTGTTGCATTTATTATTATTATTATCATCCATATGCACACACAACGTTACTAACGTGATTTTAGCCTTTTTTGTTATTGCTGTTGCCGTCTTTAATGTGTAGTAGATATTATTGTTGTTGGTACAAAATTCCTTTACTAAATGATCTTGCACTTGAAACCTTTTTTATTTGGGGTTTTTTCTCTTATTTTAAAAATGAACACTATATATACAATTTATTTAAAATAAATAATTGATAGTATTTTTTATAAATAATTAAACTATAAAGTTGAATTTTCATTCATAAACAAGTAATAAATAGTTATAAATTAAATAGAATATCCTCTGTCACTTTACACTAAATTCGATAGCTTGTTTTTGCCAAAAAAAAACAACAACTCGCGTTTCAATAAAACCGTTTCTCTTCACTATGACATTCTATCCGCTACGCGCGTCATTCTTGCACACCGGTTATCGACTGAGGAGTTTTTCTAGGGAAATTGTTGCCTGTATTAAAAAGAGATGCCAGATGTTCTATCGTAAATGACGAAAATGAAAAAAGTTTTTATTTTATCTTAAAAAAGGTTATAAATAAATTATATCTCTATTTTTATTATTATTTGTGGCAAAATATAATTTTGTATTAAATTTTGTTTTATAAATGTGATCTTTGTAATGGAAAACTATAAAATTTTTTGAATCAAAAAATCGTTAAAAATGTGGCAAGCCCTGAGTAAGTTTTGTTATATATGAAAGCTACGTTTTGTAGAAGAGTTTTGTTAAAATACGACACTTAGAAAAATTATGCCTATTAATTAAAAAATAATAAAATGTTTAAAAAATGAAATTAAGATATATGTACATATCGTCACCTAAAACTCAAACGGCTCTATCTAAAATTTTACAGGAGAAGAAAAAAATGTTTAACAGCGCGATTTATTTTTATTCCATAAACAAATTGTTTAAAAGTGCATCCCATTATTTGTTATGATAATTGAAAAAAATGCATAGATTAGACTTGCTGTCTTTAAAATGTTGGTCGGAGAAATCCAACTTTAAAAACAACAATTGTTAGATAGATCCGTCTGCGTTTTAAGTGACGATATGTAGTTGAAATAAAGTAAAAGTAAAAGTTTTTAAAAAAAAATTTACTACAAAATATGAAATTAAACAGTAAATATTATTAATGAAACAATTGAAAAATTGTAATAATATTAAATTTTCCTTCTTTTTATAGAACATTTTCTATACATATTTTTTAAAGAAAATTTAGATAAATTTCCTTTATATATAAATTTTAGATAAATCTTATACATATTTTATATAAATTTTCTTTTTTATAGAAAATTTTCGATAAATTTTATATGTTATATAAATTTGTCGACAAATTTCCTTTTTTATTGAAAATTTTCGATACATTTATCTTTTTTATACAAAATTTTAGATAGAGTTTCACTTTGTATATTTTTAGACTTTTTCATAAATTAATCTTAATAATTACCTTTTTAGGATTTTTAAAATGTTATCAGTTTTACAAAAAGTTAAAATTTTGTTCCACAAATCTAAAAATAACGAACATATTATTCAATCTCAATCATATCTGGCATCTCTACAGACATTATCAACTACTCTGGCAACCAAACATTCAGCAACTGTCAAAACAACAATTTGTGCTGAATAGCTGAGAGAAAAGATTGACAACCATTTTTTTATTGACAATTGACATTTTCAACCAAAATCGTTTACTTCGTGAAAAATCTAGATACAAGCGCAGGTTTATATTATATTAAATTAAATAGTTCTAATAAAATAGGCAAACATGCCTAAATATTATTGCGATTACTGTGACACCTATTTAACACACGACTCTCCTTCGGTGCGTAAAACCCACTGTACGGGGCGCAAACATCGTGACAATGTTAAATTCTACTATCAAAAATGGATGGAGGAACAGGCACAACATTTAATTGACGCCACTACTGCTGCTTTCAAGGCAGGAAAGATTACACAAAATCCATTTGCCGGTGGACCACCTAAACCAGGTGGTGTGGCGATACCACCGCCACCAAATATGGCAGTACCCCCAAGACCGGGTATGATGCCGCCCGGCATGCCTGGAGGTCCGGGCATGCCACCAATGATGATGGGTCCTCATGGAGCTATACCACCTCCTATGATGGGTATGCGTCCCCCACCTATGATGGGTCCTATGGGTATGATGGGACCACCGCCTCCACTAGGTACTTTAGCCGGGGTACGACCACCAATTATGAATGGACCACCACCAAAATAACAGGAGGTTAATACCGGAGTCGGAGGAGTTCACAACGCCGGAAAGACTTGATAAGGATGATGCGCATAATTAATTTTAATATTGTCGTCTCGTTTCTGTCTGTCTTAAGTAGTTATAACTTAAGTTTGAATTAAGTTTAGTATTTAAATTTTTTTAATACTTCAGAATGTTCTTTGTAAACGAGTTCAAAAACATGCAGTTTTAACAAGAAATATCTTTAAAATAAACATTTTGACTTTAATTTACAAACATACAAATTTGAAGTTTTATGATTCGTGAGAACCTAAGCCCATTTGCTGCAAGAATGTTGTAAATATATTCCAGGCATGCGTATTTTCATTCAATGAGGATCTGCCATACCCCTTACTAGCCAATATACATATCTACTAGGGTGATCGATTATTCGACGTTTACCAAAAACTTTTTTTCGAATAGTTGACCTAGGTTATAAAATGTATTTTAGGACCTAGGGACCAACATTTCTCAAATTTTTTCAGTATGTATTATTATTCACTTTAAAATTTTATTTAAGTGTTCGTTGAATACAAACAAAGCTCTAAAAGAATTCATTCCCTTTTTTTAAATTGAGCTATACTTTGAAGAATTTACCATTCATTAAACTTAATTCCTATGATTTAATTCCTAGAATTAATTCTTAAAGCTTTCGATGTGGTTGAATGAATTCTCTAATTAATTAATTCCCATAGAATATTAAATTCCTTCTGAATGCATTAATTTTGTTTGCATTCAATATGTTACAAACTGAATTAAAATAAATTTCAACAATTCCTATTGATTTTTAAATTCCCTCTGAAAATAATAGGTAGTATTCGAAAACGGTTTTTAAAGTATAAATACCGGGTTTTTCGATATTCGAAAAATCAACATTAAAAAAACCAACAGTAGTAAAAAGGAAAAAACCGGATGAAAAACCGAGTCGATCACCTTAATATCTACGTCTAAATATTCATATGAATCATGCACTGTAGAGGTTATAATTTAAAAAATTGGATTAAAACTGCTGATAATCAGCTGTGCGGATATTATTTAATAAATTATTTAATAAACCTTGTTTTGGTGTTTATGAAAAATTTTGAGATATTTTTAATATTTTTTCGCATAAGTATATAAAAACAGAATATTGTTTATTCAGGTGTTTTCGTTGGTTTTCTCGGACCCCCCCTAGGATTTTGCTACGGACCACTAGGGGTCCGCCCCCCATTTTGGAACCGTTTGGAACAGAAGCGAGAAGGCAAGCACTTGACTGGCAATGACACACAATTTAAATTATTTTACAATGCAGCGGCGTTTGCTTTTGTCTGCAAAATAATGCTAATGGATCTGCTGGCTGCCATGTTACCGCCGACTGCTATTGAAATAAATTTTACTTTTGCCATTAAGCTAAAAAAAATAAATTAAAATATAATTTAGATTCTTCAAAATTTTATTATATAGATTACACTATGCGGTAAAAATAAATACATACCTGAGAAAATATAACCCGATCGTCAAAATATTGTTTTTTCCATCCCTGCATAATTTCTAACACAACTTTTGTGCTTGCTCAATTTTGTTGTTATAAATTATATACAAAATCCCACGTTTTGTTCTCTCGGATTCGGGTTTTATTTAGAATCTTTGAAAATTTAAAAATTAAGCTTATTTGAGAACTTAGCCGGCTTACAGTCGATTTTAAGCCGACGCCGATATTTTTAATGTCAGTCACCACCGTCGTTAATATTTGTCGACGCAGGGCTGTGTTTGCTACTGCTTTTTAAGCATGTTTTGGCGCAAAAACTTGTGAAATTAGTCAGAGTTAAAACAAGTAAATTGCAATTTTCCGCAAACTAATTATTAATCAACAGGAAATAACATGAAATCAAATAAATTGTTTGTTCTTAAACGAGATGGACGCAAGGAAGAGGTTCATTTCGATAAAATAACATCACGAATTCAAAAGCTATGCTATGGCTTGAATATGGATTTCGTTGATCCAGTGGCCATTACACTGAAGGTAATTAATGGCCTTTACTGTGGTGTTACTACACAAGAACTAGATAATTTGGCGGCAGAGACTGCTGCTACATTAACTACTAATCATGGCGATTATGCCATATTGGCAGCTCGTATTGCAGTATCCAATTTGCACAAAGAAACGAAAAAAGTATTCTCAGAGGTTATAAGTGATCTGTATCATTTTGTTAATAAAGAGACGGGGAGACCATCGCCTTTGATTTCCGAATACCACTACAATGTAGTGCAGAAAAATGCAGAACGTTTAAATTCGTCAATTATTTATGATCGTGACTTTGGCTACAACTACTTCGGCTTCAAGACACTGGAGAGATCTTATTTGCTGAAAATGAATGGTAAGATTGTTGAGAGACCACAGCATATGTTAATGAGAGTAGCTATAGGTATACATGGAGATGATATTGATTCGGCTATTGAAACTTATAATTTGTTGTCTGAGCGTTATTTTACTCATGCTTCACCTACATTGTTTGCGGCCGCTACCAATAGACCGCAGTTGTCGTCATGCTTCTTGTTGACCATGGTGGCCGATTCTATTGAGGGTATTTTCAAGTCAGTGGAACAATGTGCCATGATTTCCAAATCAGCGGGTGGTATTGGCATAAATGTGCACTGCATTAGAGCTAAGGGCACTTCCATTGACGGCACTAACGGCACCTCAAATGGTCTGGTACCAATGCTTAGGGTGTTTAACAATGTGGCCCGTTATGTTGATCAGGGTGGTGGCAAACGCCCTGGTGCCTTTGCTATTTATTTGGAGCCTTGGCATTCAGATATTTTTGAATTTTTGGATTTAAAGAAAAACACCGGCAAGGAAGAGCACAGAGCCAGAGATCTTTTCTATGCTTTGTGGATACCCGACTTGTTTATGAAACGTGTGGAAGAAAATGGTGACTGGTCCCTAATGTGTCCTCACAAATGTCCCGGTCTGCAGGATGTTTGGGGTGAGGAATTCGAAGAATTGTATACCAAGTATGAAAAAGAAGGTAAGGCCAATCGCACTGTCAAGGCTCAGGCTCTTTGGTTTGCTATAATTGAAGCCCAAGTAGAAACCGGTACTCCCTATATGTTGTATAAAGATGCCTGCAACCGCAAAAGTAACCAGCAAAATATTGGCACCATTAAGTGCAGCAACTTGTGCACAGAGATTGTAGAATATTCTGCCCCTGATGAGATAGCCGTTTGTAATTTGGCCTCCATAGCCCTTAATATGTTTGTCACACCAGAAAAGACCTTTGATTTTAAAAAATTGAAAAATGTCACTAAAGTCATTACCAAGAATCTCAACAAAATCATCGACATTAACTATTATCCCTTGCCTGAGGCTAGGAAATCCAATATGCGTCATCGTCCTATTGGCATAGGTGTTCAGGGTTTTGCCGATACTTTGATTTTAATGCGTTACCCCTATGAGAGTGAAAAGGCGTTTTTGTTAAATCAACAGATTTTCGAAACTATTTATTATGGCGCATTGGAAGCTAGTTGTGAATTGGCCGAAAAAGATGGCACATATGAAACTTATCCCGGCTGTCCAGTAAGTAAGGGTATACTACAATACGATATGTGGAATAAAACACCCACAGACTTGTGGAACTGGTCAGAGTTGAAGGAGAAAATCAAGCAACATGGTGTACGCAATTCTTTGCTATTAGCCCCCATGCCCACAGCTTCGACCGCACAAATTCTAGGCAACAATGAATCCTTTGAACCGTACACCTCCAATATTTACACTAGACGTGTTTTGTCGGGAGAATTCAATGTTGTCAATCATCATTTGCTTAAAGATTTAACCGAACTTGATTTATGGGATGATGAAATGAAAAATAAAATTATTTCCAATCGCGGCTCCATACAAGCCATAGAAGAAATTCCCAAACATATACGTGATCTATACAAGACAGTTTGGGAGATTTCCGTTAAGACCACCATACAAATGGCCGCCGATCGTGGCGCTTTCATAGATCAAAGTCAATCGTTCAATATACATGTGGCCGAGCCAAATTACGGCAAATTGACCTCCATACATTTCTATGCCTGGAAATCAGGCTTAAAGACCGGCATGTATTATTTGAGAACAAAGCCAGCAGCCAATGCTATTCAATTTACCGTAGATAAAGGTCGTGCAGCCGTACAAAACGAGAGTCAAATGCAGGCCAATGGTGATCATGAAGAAAGTATTCTCAATGCATCGTCATCGTCGCTAAACAATGAATCGGTTAGGGAGAAAAGAATGGCCGAAATGGTTTGTTCTCTAGAAAATAAGGAGGCCTGTATGTCGTGTGGCTCATAATTTAAGTTAAACATAATTTATTTTATAACATTTATTTTTTCTACAAAGGATACATTTTTGAAAAATAAATACATTTTAAAATTTTATTATAAATTATTTTGTTTCGTTTTAAAGATATTTTGCGTGAAATTAATACTTATTGTTGTTCATTGTAACTTTTTGGAATACAATTTTCTGAATGGGAAAAAATGGTACTAAAGGAAGAAAACTCAGAGACAATTTTAATAAAATTTTAAAAATTTCTAGCTGTAGTACTAAATACGAAAGAATATTTTTTGGGACTTTTTCGTTCTTCAATTGGCACTTTTTGAGTTTTCTATAGTATTGGAACTGAGTAAATGAGAATCTTTAAAAAGAGACTTTTTGGTACTTTTTTAACATGAAATTTAACAAGTAAAGGTCCGAGTAAATGAAAATCTATAAAAGGATACTTTTCTGGTACTTTTTCGTTCTTCAACTAGTACTTTTTGATAAAACTCAAATAATAATAATAATATTGAACTTTGAACCATGAATTGAACATGAGTAAATGAGAATCTATAAAAAAGTACTTTCCCATTCTTCAACTAATACTTTTGAGTTTTCTTTAATATTAAACCTAGAAATTTGAAATTAAATATGCACATTGCTATTTAATTTGAATCTATATAAAAAGGACTTTTTGGTACTTTTTTGTTCAACAAAATTTTTCTATAATAGTTGTGTTTTGTTGCTAACGTTCAAAGGCAATTTCATATAAATTTAAAATTTATAAACGTTAGGAGTTAACGTGTAAAATTATACAAGTTAATTTTAACGTTGATAAAAGTGCTACCAATTCAAAAATAAAAATACAAATATTAATGTGTTTATGTCAAACAATAAAAAAATATTTTAAAATAAAATTTAAATCAAAGAAAATTACCAAATAAAAAAACCTTTTCAAGAAATTGTAAATAATTTCAAGATTTAGCAGATTTCTTCTGTGGAGTGATGCCAAGTCAGGTAATGTTCGTTTTGTTGCTAACTTTAAGCGTTAACACACATTGATAGCAACAAAACACAACTAATATTCAACCTAGAAGTATAAAATTTATCACACAGCGTCCTAATTAATTGAAAATCTATAAAAAAAGGACTTTCTGGTACATTCTTAGTTATTTGGTCTGGTCATTTTAGAATTTTCATTGAATCTAGAAACATAAAATCAAACATAGGGTCCTAATTGCATGAAAAATCTATAAAATTGCAAACGCCCACTCGGAATAATTTCATTTTGTTTTAATTTCCCACAAAATAAATAAAATGTTTCAAGCAAATTATTTTAATTTCAGTATTCGTTTGTAAATGCAATAAATTTGTGCATCACTGCAGCGTTCTGTGATGTGCAAGTAAATAGTATTGTAGAAAAAATATTTTTCATAAATCAGGAATATTATTATCGAACTTAAATTATGCTGCAGTGATGCAATATTAATGCATTTATGAACGCTTATTTATTTTAAATCTTATAAAACTAGCTTAAAATTAATTACAATTTTTAAGTTATTACAGACAATATTTAGAATTTAAAATGCATATTATATGGGTATATTCTGTATTTTACAAGTTATTTCAAATCAATCATTTACACCATCTAAAATACATTTAAATTTGGTTTTCAAATGATTAAAAAATACAGAACATATCTAAAGTTTAAAATTTTTCATCTGCTATAAGATCTTTAATACGTCAGAAATAGCGCTCCGTGAAATAATTTTTATAATAAAGTTGTTATATATATATAATTATGATTCAAGTTTGTACAGTAAATCTTCACCTGAAATAACAACAATTTTAGTAAAAAAATAAAATTAATTGCATGAGCTTTATCGCTTATAGCAAATGAATCATATAAAAAAAATTGCACAAAATCAAACAAACATCCTTAAATTAACTATGAAACTAATTGATATTCTTGCACGTTTGTTCACCAGTTTGGAAATTTTCAATTAAAAACACAAAACAACATATTGGAAATGATAGCAAAATTAAGCAGACAAACGCACAGTCCATAAACTTTTGTATAGGGTCTGGTGTATAAATAAAATTTTCTAAAAGTAGTTAGAATCAATCCAAAAACTATTCCATATGTCGACGTTTACTAGGCGATACTAAAACTGCTTGAGGCTGTTGTGTAAACATGGGATTTATTATGTGATTTTCGTAACGTTTATATTCAGAACCAATGTGTTCTAAATCTAAATCGGCATTTAAAACGATAACCTTAAAGTAAGAAAAAGTAATAGAATTTTAATTAGTTAAAATAAGATCGATAAATTTAAAAATATTAAACTACTTACATTTGTATTGTAGCCACGATTTTTGATTAACCATTCCTCGTGTAATTTATGCAATTCTTCTAAATATTTCAAAGGCACACAACTCTCCTCGGAACGGGCACGCTTACGCATACGCTCATACACCACTTCAGGCGAGGTACGTAGATAAACTAGATTAAATAAGAATTTTTAGTTTTTACTATTTTATCACTTTTAATAAAACTTGTAAAACTTACCTATTAAATCGGCTCGTATGTGTATGGAATCTTCAATGAATCTATACCACTCTTGTAATACATGATACATTCCGGCATCAATTATTTCATTTCTAAACATGTTCTCAACAAAACAGTGCCTAAAATGGTAAAAAAAATAATTGATTGAAAAACTCTCAAACGCTTTATTATTCTACTCTGAAATATTGTTGAAATCTTTGTCAGCAAACAAAGACTTTTTTCGAATAACTAAGCTCTTGGAAGGTGCTGAAGGATCACTAAAATTTTTCACTTAAATCTATGATTTGTAGGAAGTTTTTTAATAATTCTTGTTATATACGGGGGACTATAAAAGAAACATTATAGAACAATAGCCCAAAGGCTGAGCTCTTAAAAACAACTGAAGGATCAGGAAATTTTCCACTTAAAACTATCGATTTCTTTGCATCAACCTACGGAAAAATCCGGACAATACCCTTGGAAGTTTTTTTATAATTTCATTCTTTTGTAATTTTTAGTTCTTACGTGAGACAATAATTGAAACATTGTAGGACTATAGTCGGATTGCTGATCTAGATAGATGGATAGTGATGCCATGTCGTGCAGTGATGCGATGCAGATATGCTTTCCCAACTTTTAAATTACAAAAAATATTTCGAAAATAATAACAAAAACTACTTACTTTGAACTGTATATTGAACGTTCCATTAGTTTTACGGGTTTTTCAGTCTGTAATGTGTGACTTTGTAACATGGTCAATGTAACATATGATTGGAATGGCATGGCCCAACGTTCTGGTTCTTTATACATCAATTCCTTTAAAAATTATCGAATATATAACCAACCTTAGGAGGAAGAAGACAAAAATTTTACTACTTACCAATAAATTGACACCTCTAACATTACGCCATTTTTCGACAGGTTCTGTGATCAAACAGATCTTATCTTGGAATTGTTCAAAATGATTAAGAAACGTGGTCTTGCCGCTGCCAATGTTGCCCTCGATCAAAACAGTAAAGGGCTGTGAATTGGCAGCAAATTTTTGTAAAGGTTTTGTTCCACTAGCAGTATTATTAGCAGACATGGTGGCGGCTGCTTTAATAAGGCGTCCTTGAAAATAAAAGAACGATATTCAATTATCACAAAATATTACTGTTCTTACATTCCTTTTGTTAAACTTTTACTTAGTAAGTTCTTCTTACCTTTATATTAAAAATAAGTATTTAAACCAAGGATTTTTTTTTTTTAATTCTAATCAGGCGTGTCAATATTGTTTTCTTCTTATTGCCACTAGATTTTAGTTTTGTTTGATTATAACATAAATGAACGCTTTGGAATTTAATTGCAATTTAAAAAAAAAGACAGATACACAACATTAATTTCTCTACACTAAAATATTTTGACAAATTTCTTTCTAAAATTATGACTGTTTAATGTGATCTACATTTGGTTAATATTTGTACTGAATAAAAAAAGCGGGAAGTGATAAAAATACGCGCCGAAAAAACTAATTTTTTGTCATTAGTTTGTTTACGTTTGATGATTTTATTTGAATTGTTGTTGCGTTCAAAAGAAAAACTTGTTTAGTATGTATGGCATCTTTATAGATATTTGATCATGATGGCAATGTAATTAATAAAAAGCTGTCACTCTGTACTAAAGGGTTGATTGCTGCATAATCAAAAAAATGTTACGGTACAGCTATGTATTTATATGTGAAAAGGGTCCTTAAAAATTGTATTATGTTTATAATTATAATATTCATGCATCTGCATCTATTGTTTACATTTAAAATTTATGTTGGTTTCAAAATTTTTCTTTGGTATGGTAGCATTATGAATGAAAACAGAAGTTGCCATATAACTAATTTTAAGGGGAACTTTATTCAAAATAGAATGAGTTAAATCAAAAAAATTATCGAAATGTATTAAAGAAATTTGCTTTTAATTTACAAATTCAATTATTCAGATATACAATTAGAAAATATTGCAATTAGAAGTTGAATTATATGTGATCAAAATTGAAAGACTTTAACCCTTTATAGCCGCAACCAAATTTTGGAGAAATGCATAGATTTTTTGTTACCGAATTTCATGACTATAATAATCAGAAAGATTTTTATTTATTTTTGAGGCATGTTATTATTTCCATGCCAAATACAACGCACAACACACCAAATATTTTATTAAAAAAATTATTGAATTTAATTATAAACTTTTTTAAAATGGATGGAATTTCATCACATAACTGCATATTTATAAGTTATTAATCAATTTTAAAATAAATTAATTGATATGAACTTTTAAATTCATTTAATATTTACTAGCATAATGTATCGGATTCAATTTTATGTTAAAAATTTAATATTATCTGGAATTCAAATTTTGTTAAAAAATTTAATATTGTTCTGTTGCAAACTTTAAAATAATATTAGTTCAAATGTGCTGTTTAAAAAAGCTCATATTTTTCTTAATAAAAAGTTAGCTTTTAACAAATTTATATGAATTTCACAAGTATGATCACATTTAAATAAAGAACATTGTAGTATAGCGTTATAAAGTTCCACGAAGATTGCGACAAGCATTTAAATTAAAAGCGTGACTAAGTATTTCAGAGTACATACATAATTGCAAAAAATGCTAATATTTTATTTTCACTGATTCTAGGTAGGTAGGTAGGTACTATACTATATATTTTTATGTTTTTTGTTGTTAATTTTCAGAAGAAAATTCAAAAATGTATAAGAAATTGTTCCGTACAAACACTTTTTTAACCTACTGTATTGATAGGTATTTGTGTGACTGGATTGAAAATGCGGCATTCTATTTATTTATTCTACTTATTAATTTATTCTATTTAATTACTCTACTAATTTCAATAAAATGTCTTCAACATTAACTTACCAACAAATTTTCCTAACATAATACAATTATAAAAAGCTTTGAAATATATTTGAATTAAATAAAATCAATTTTTATTTCACAATTGTTATAATAATCTGTAGCTCCAACTAGAGAAAAAGAATAAACTAAACAGCTGTGTTTTTATTTTTTGGGGGTTAAAAATATTTGTAGGGATGGGGATTGCTATGTGTTGCCACATAATAACAATATTTTAATGGTACAATTTCGCAAGAAAATAACAGTAAATTTTGATACATTTTGTGCTGTTATTATTTAAAATAATTTAAAATGTACATACATATTTCTAAATTAATATCTATATATTTCTTTTTATTCCTACTTCTTTTTTATTAATTAATTTATTTTACATTTACTACTCACCGGTAGGTGGCTCATTTTTAAATGTTTGACGCCGTTATATTTATACTGCCTTTGTATTCTTGTTAGCTCAGCGAATAATGAAAACAAAAGACACCAGCAAAAAAACAGAGAACATAAAAGTGAAGTGAAGAAAAAAGCCGATAATTATTGATTTCCTAGCACGGATGCCAGAGTAAAAAATTAAATTGCAGTGTAGGTATTTCTGGGGATATTGTCATATATTATTAAATGAATTTAAATTATTGCCTAATGAGGAAAATTTGCAAATTTACATATACATATTTTCATTAAACAAGAATATTTAAAGTTGTTATCACCTTAGAATCAGATTGATAGTCAATTTGGCCAGGTCTGCCCCTGTAAATCGCCACACAATTTTCAGTCCGGCAACTTTTTATTAGATTGTGTGTATGTCATTTTCTCTCAGCTAATTCTCTACAACAGAATTTATTGACGGTTGCAAAAACAAGACGTGAAAAAATACCAAATGCAGTATAAATAACGAAATTGTTTAAAATTGTATATTAAAATAAAAAGTACTACTAATTAAATCATAAATATACTAAAAAGACAATTAATTAAAATTTAAAAACAAATTCCCTAAAGATTTGAAGGAAAAAACTAGAAAATACACAGAAAAGAAAAAACAAAAAAATTAAATCGAATATTAACCCCTTAAAAAACAAAAGCAAAAAGAGACAAAAAGTACAGAAGAAGAGACAAAAACAATAAACAAGTAGAATTGTGCATAAAAAGGGGGGCTTGTTTATAATAAAAGTGAGTTTGGCAAATAGTTGTTGGTGCAGTAGCTGCAATTTATACGATATTGTTTTTGTTTTGTTTCATTTCTCGGTAAGTACCAACTGGGTTAGAGGAGGCAGAGATCCCCTCACCCAAAACAAATGAAACCAAATAAATATTAAGTCAGTCAGTCAATCAGTTAGGGCAGCCAGCCATCCAGCAGGCAGTTACAAATAGTGACATAGGAATGAATGAATGTGTAGACGAAAAACGAACATACGAGGAACAAACGAAACCCAACAACTAACATACCAACAAGCAAACATTGTTATAAAGATAGATAGATACAATTTAAGAGAAAAACTGTGGAAGGTAAGAAGAAGTAGGAGGGAGCAAAGGGAGGTGGGAGTAAAAGCAAATCCTTTTGTGTTTCGTTAACAGTTTTCACTGGTATAGACAGAAAATTATTTTTTAAGGGACTCACAAAACAGCAGAGTTCTATTGTAAAGCAACGACTGAACGGGAGTAGTTTTAATTAAAAATAAAATTAGCAAGAAGAAAAAATTAAAAAAAAAGAATTGCGTTGTGATTGAACATAATTTTTCTTCATTTAAACACAAATTATTTAAATTTTATTTATTTACCAAAGTTTTCTTCTTCGTTGGAGTCAAACCTAGTAAGGAAGCGTTAACTTTACGCAATTGTGTTTGAGCCAGTGCCAAAGCTGAAAGTAAATTGTCATCACCAGCAAGATGACCAATTTGGAGAGACAACATGAGTTGGTTAAGAAAAGTTTAGTGCAATTTGTCAGTGCCCATATACCGGGTGCCGACTTTAGTGTCGTTGATGAAATTGTACTCTCCTATATAATATCGATTTTGGAGGAAGCCTCACAAGATCCCTGCTTCGATGTTGAGGGTTTTGTCGAAATGATGAGTGCATATTTTGAGGATTTTTCATCCATTGATCAGGGTGTCATATGCGATTGGATTTATAAGTTGGCCAATGAATTGATTGAGCTGCAAAAGAATCAAGATAATCATCATCAGCAGGCAGCTAATCTGTCATTTAAGTATGTATTCGTTGATTTTTTTTTTTTTCATTTTTCTTATTATTATCTATTGTGCATTATTTTTTGCAAATAAAATCAATGTATGTATAATTTCTTTATTTTTTTTTAAACTCACGACTGTCTTTTGGGATTTTTTTCCATTTAGTTCACTTTCTTTGTCGGATATTATACCCGAATCGAAATTACGTGCTCGTAATTCTTCATCCTCTTCGGAAAAGGATGAGTTTCCATTAAATGAAAATGATAGCTACAATATGACAAACAATGGCTATAACTTTGATTTGATTTATTGTGAAGAGGCGAAAATTCTACAGGAAATGTTTCCGGACTCACCATCCGTTGAGGTAAGTTATGTTGAATGTTTTTTTTTTTTGCTATTTTTTAACTAAATTTTAAATAATAAAATATTTGCTTGAGCATTAGAAATTTTTTTACACCTAAAAAGGAAATAACAACGATACAAATATATAATTTAATTAACATTTTTAATAAAAAAACAACTTAAAACTTTTGTCCGAACATTAAATTTAAATTAAATTTTATAAATTTGTAATTGTATATGTTTGCTTACTTTTTCTAGATAAAATATTGTGTTGCTATAGCCAAGGGCGATATCGATAGTGCTACTCAGACATTGTTGCATCGCCAAGAAACTGGCCAGAGTTTATCTGAGAAACCAAATAATGCCATAGCTGGTCGTAAGAATGTTGTTGTTAATGATACTGAATTAAAAAATCGTATTATAGCCAGGTAAGTTATGTTCTTTTATTTTTTCAAAATAATTTTACAATATTTTTTCTGCAAAAAATTCTAATACTTATGTTGAAAATAATTTTTAAAAATTTTCTTATTTTTTAACGAAAATTTTATATAAAACTAAAAGTTTTCTAAAAAAAATATAAAAAATTTCAATAAAAATTATTGAAATTTTATATAAAAATATTTCAATATATTGAAAATATACATATGTATATAAAAAATTTTGTGTACAAATATTTCAATATTGAAAATTTTCTATAAAAAATTTCAATATTAAAAATTTTCTATAAAAAAATATTGGAATTTTCTATGAAATAATTTCAATATTTTCTATAAAAATTCAATATTAAAGATAAAGTCTGGAAATTTCTTTAGTATCCTATAGAAGGTCGATAAATCGTTTCTGTTTTGAAAACTGTGCCTCGTTTCTGTAACTCTCGCATCGAGAAGTTTCTCGCATGAAACAGTGGAATTGAAGAAAAAACAATATGAATTGAAACAAAATATCATTTCTCACATGCAAGTGTTTCTGTAAGAAAATTTTGTGAGAACTATCAGTCATTTATGTTTTTTGACTTAAGTTATTGGAAATTTGTGAGTAAAAGTGTTTCTGTAAGAAAATTTTGTGAGAAGTTTCTCACATGAACTGTCAAAAAAACTCACATTTTAAAACGGTGCGGAAAGGAAATTTTTAAGTAAATAAAATTTAATTTAAACATGAATTATATGAAACAATGAAAAAGTAATGTTATATTTATAATTATTTAAGATTAAAATAAATATTGTTCACTAATTTTTAGAAAATAGGAGGAATTTCGGATATACAGAAGCAAATGCTAAAAAAGTACGTGGACATAAACTTAGAATTTGCCAAGGGCAAATTTAGTGGGATAATTTTTCGAACAATTTTCATTTAATTTCTATATTTTTTGTTTATTTATTCTTCGTTTATAAATTTGTTCGGCAATTTTTGTTTTCTTCTTTTAATTTTTATGTTTTTGACAGCTGTTTTATTGGAAATTTCCAATAAAAACGTAATTCGTGCAGCATCTTCTCACTTTAAGTTACAGAAACACTTTTTACTCACAAATCGAGAAACGATGGAATTTTTTGTTTCACACTTCTCGATGTGAGAACTTCTCACTCAAAGTTACAGAAACGGGGTACTGTTAATCAGTAGTAAATTTTAAATAGTAAATAGAAGCTTTTACAAACCTTGTATATTTCCAACAAAAGTTTTAAGTCTAGACATGTACGATATTTTCAAGTAAACTTCGATCTAACTCAATAAAGTGAAATGATTAAGTACTTTGTTACAATTCCCATATTCTATTTTTACAAAACTTGTAAGTTAAATAGACGATGTTTACTAGTACCATAGTTTGTTCCCATCCCATATCGTCACCGAAAATGGATTCTATTTGAAAAAAAAAAAAAAAATGATCCCCAAGTGGGACTCGAACGCGTGCTTGAAGAATATTCAATTAATAATATAATTCGATAGTTCGATAAAATCAAATAAAAGTAAATATGTTCCTAATTTAAGACAGATAAACTTTGTAAACAAGAATCCTTTAAATTGTTTTTATAAATTTATATGTATGACCAATTTTAAATCTTTTAGCTTAATTTTAAAAAATTTCTCTAGGTAAAAGAGTCATTAAATAAAATATTCCATAATTATTAC